CCCCCAACCTTTTCTGAAAACTGAGTTTGATTCTGGTTTTTTTCCCTAAATGTCCAAATGTTTCATATTATAGTATTAAAGTTTGTAAACCGATTACCATTATGAGCGATTGTTATTCAATTTATTCTGTAAATAGACTTTTTACGCTATCCGTACTACGGGGCACCACGGATTCCGTTGTGTCTCACTCCCTTTAATAGTACCCCCCCTTGTAATAATCCCGCATCGTCAAACTAGGAAGGATGGACATAAGTTGGGCGCACTTCCTGAATTAAGGTTCTGCCAGCGTCCTGTACTAACAGGATGGCTACATACCAATTATAGCGATCCATTGCCATTATGAAACCACCGGGGAAGACTAGCTATCTACCAGGCGCTGTCCATTCGCAAACCAGCCGAGAAGCCCACGTGACACGAACGCAGCCCAACGTGCGAATATCCTTCATTGGACGTTAGCATAGCAGACATTTTCTACGCCATGCCGAGGGCTAGTTCAGATGAAGGCAGTCTAAACCGGCGAGCGCGAGATATCAACACCGTTCTAACCGAAGCGACGCAGAAGCAGACACGTCAAGACCCTCGCGATGCGTGGCAGCCGATCTACGAGATGCTTCTGGGAATAAAACCTGGGAGCAAGAGTGACGCAGGTATCGTAATGGATGCCATTTGCAAGTTTTGTGCCCGGTTCGGACGAGAGGAAGCCAAGCCTGCAAGTGCTCCCAGAATGCGGCTCAGATTGCGGGTATTTTGGCTTCACCGAAGAAGCGACGTAAGAAGACGAAGAAGCCTGGTGTTTTCACCTCTTTTGGATTGATAACCTCAAGTCGCACTTGAAGACGCAACATCCTAAGCGCTGGAAGGAGTACAACGCGCTCCCTAAAGATGAAAAAAGTGCGCGCAAAGTACTTCATTAAGGAGATGCCCATTTCCTCGTATCTGACCCAACCTTCTTTTGAAGTGCGGGTGCCAGCGGGTGTGATGGCTTTGCTGAAGTGCTTGTATTTTGACGATGGACACACAAGTCTGGACCCGCAATTCATCGAGTGTGACAACGGAGATTGCATCGTTCAATTTGCAGATCGCGACCAATTTGAAGTCATCGTGGAGTGTATCTCGAACTCTGTAAGCTACCGCAGCACCTCGGAGCTGTTTGTCGTGTTTGGCATGCGATTGATGAATATGAAGCTCGGGAAGCCATCTGAGAAGGTGGTTCGCGATTCGGTTCGGCTATTGACGGTCATCAATCTCACCGCTTTTGCAGAGATTTTTAAGCACGTATGGGGCTTTTCGATCATCGTTGATGGAGCTACACACCAAGATCGAGGCTACCTCGACGTACGTCTCTCGTTTGGATTAGATGGCGCTCTTCACAACTTCCACTTTCTCGCTATTCCCACCGGAACTCTATCGCACACCGGGAAAAACCACGCTGCGCTTGTCCTGACTTTTCTCAAAGCCCTCGGCGGCGATGCTGCGCTACAGAAGCTTATTGGGATATCTTCCGACGGCGCGGCCAACATGCTGGGTTGTAACAATGGGTTTTCCAAGAATGTGAAGGACGCCTGCAGAGCCGTCGGAGGGACAGGCATTGTCACTAACTGGTGCGGCAGCCATCAGCTAAACCTGATCATGAACCAATTGCTGATGGTTTTTGACAGCTATGTTGACTTTCGCTCGACCCTAGGCTCGGAGATTTCTTTCACGCATACGCACGAGTCTGTCAAACAACGAGTCGGGAGTTGTCCTCACTATGCTGAAACCCGCTGGGATTCCATCTATGAGTCCTGCAAGTTCTTGACACTCAACCGCAACGCCTTGGTTGCGCTGCAAAATGACAAGCATCGCTCGCTTTCGAGCAGGTTGTGGTGGATCGTTTTGGCTGTGGTCACGGATCTCGCGCGCTCAGCCAAGTTATGCTTTGAGCAACTGCAGTACAAACACGTCACGGTATCTGAGCAGTACGCGGCCCTCAAAAAGCTCGCGACAACGCTTCAGAACCGATTTGAGGAGAACGGCCCCGACGGAAAGCCATGCATAAGTGACGTGAAGACTGAGTTCGAGATATGTAAGGCGTCAGCGTTCTCAGGTGGACTCTACGAGATGCTTGATGTCCCGAGCCAGTTTGACTTGGTTCTTGTAGTTCGTGACGCTGTATAAGAATTTATTGACGGAGTTCTGGGCGTTACGTTGTCCGTCGAGGACACAGTATACGCCATGACGACTCCTAAAGAGATTGCTCTCATCACTCATGGCGCGTTTGCCGAGTTATTTAGCAGGCATGAAGACCGACTTACCAGGCAGTACGGTCATTCGGTGACAGGGAAAATTTGGGCGCAGCATCGTAGCTTGAAGGATGAGTATCAAGTCGATCGAAGGTTCAGAAACAATGTCGAAATTTATCCTTGGATTTTTCAGGTGCTAGTACAGCACACCACCAATTGCCATCGGCAACTTGAACCCACTGCCTGCCACACTTCCCGTAAAGCGCCACACTTCCCTAAAGCGACAAGGCCGAGAGCAACAATGCGCTGCGGGTGACGGCGGACGGCCACGCGGACGCCCGCCAACGGAAGGAGCTGCCTCACAAGGACGGCATCCGAGTGTACAAGGAGCGGTCAGCGACGCACTCTGCGACCGGCCCCACGTTGCCCTGCATCCCGTCGCTGCTGCTGCTCGGCTCGGTCGTGGGCAAGCTGGAGGACGTCATGTTCGTGGCGGCGGCCGCCCACGTTGCCCTGCATCCCGTCGCTGCTGCTGCTCGGCTCGGTCGTGGGCAAGCTGGAGGACGTCATGTTCGTGGCGGCGGCCGCGACCGACGAGCAGCTGAAGCTCACGTCCAAGTGTCTGCAGGATAGCGTGCTCGAGAGCAAAGTGGTGCAGTCCGTCGTGGCTCCGAGCGAGGAGCAGCCGTTCCGACACGTCGGCGTCAAGTGGCGGCTGCACAACAACGCGCGCGACTTTGTGTGCGTGGAAGCCACAGGCTTCGCCACGAGCAGCAAGGGTGAGCAGGTCGGCTTCAGCATCTCGCACTCGGTGGCGTTCTCGCAGATCCCGAGCTTCGACAAGTTCGGCGTCGAGCGCGCCAACATGTCGCTGTGCTGCCTGTTCCACCAGAAGACACCCGAGCTCGTCGAGTGCTACGCGCGCGGCTTCTACGACTTCCGCAGCGACAGCAACGAGCTCATGAACAGTCTGTCGGTCAACGCGGTGGCCACGCAATGGCTCAGCGTCTCCAGGATCATTGAATGCGCAGAGATGAAGAAGCTCGTGTGGCGTTTGCGCAAGAACTCGGGCCTCCCTCAACGGACCGATGACCATCGAGCCGGTAGAGGAGAGCGCGCAGCAAATCGGCGCTCGGACAAGGATTCACACGATCCTAAAAACGACATCCATCTCCAACTTGCTCTGCCCCTCCCGGCATCTCTGTTGCATGACTTGGCAGCGCACAGCACCCTCCCAGCTGCGACGAAACCCCGGATGAGACTGACCGCATGCACGTGCAAAAGTTTGCAACAATGCCGTCGACTCTTGTCACCACGAAGCCCACCACCATCGAACCAGCAGTCTCGCGTGCGTCTGCTTCGATCCTGCACTTGCCTCACTTGCGTAGCCTCTTTCCGAGTCATCTTCGAGCACGGGAACCCGCTTCATCGCGCTGCTGCCACATACTGGTTCAAAGAAGGCGACACCACGACGAGCTCGGCCACGATGATGTATCTCGTCAACCAGGACGCCCCAGCACGCCCCGCCAGCAGCGATGACTTTGCCTGCATGTCTTCGACTCAAAACAGCGAGCAAATTGAGCCGATCTCTTCTCCCACAAAGTCGACCTGCTCAAAAAGCCTTGCGTCCACGTCCACTGCGTAGATCCCAGAACTGCCACGAACGGAGCCGAAACCTGCCCGTTGCCGCTGCCGAGATACCTCGCCGAGCTCGCCCCGCCCTCCTCCACCTTGTCACACCGACCTCAGCCGCTCAACAGCTCCGGTTCGCGTCCACCTTGGAATCGTGGTCAGATCCCGGTTTTCAGCCGTCGCGCGAGAAAGAAGCGCGGTATCTTGGCTTGCCTGGATCACCCCTCCACTGTACCCACCCAGCACAACAGCGGTTACGCCGGGGGAGCTCTCTGGGCGGCAAAGCACGACGTGACGCTTCTTCCAGCGTCGTGTGGCTTGGGCGTTGCTTGTCCTGCTTCGCGTCCCCGGAGACGGCACTTGGTGGCAGAGGTCCGCCAATACCATAAAAAATTGTATTGCCAGCAGCATGACTCCATAATAAAGATTTCAATATAGCGGCAAGCAATAGTAAATATTGCCGTAATTTATATTGTATTGTTAGTTATTTCTTCATGTTCTTCTAACTCTCGCTCTTCTACCACTACTTCCCGTAGGCACGCCTATCTCGATAAAAATCTCTGCGATCCACAGGCCAAAACACGCCGAGCTCCTCCTCTTCAAAACGCGCAATGGCATCTTGTGGTAAATCTGACGCTGGCTGCCAAGTAGGACGGGGGTATCCAACCCAGCTCACAAAATAGTAGTCGTTGCCATCCAGATCAGTCTTTTTTGCATAAATAAACTCAAGGGTGTATACATTTGGCCCTTCAATGTCGGAGCTGTCACTCTCTGACGAAGTTGAGTCGCTCACAACAGCATTCGTAGGGGCACTTGGCGCACCGACGCTAGCTTGTTGGAGACCATTGTTTTTGGAGAATGCAATGTTGAAATGAGACGCTAGGCCGCCCGAGAATAGCGGCTGGGCTTCTCTACGAGTCTGCTCCTGACCGGTAATTGTATCGACGCTAGTGTAGTGTGGAGGACCCCATTGTTGATGTCATCGGTGGTGCCATGTGATGCCATCAAACGTAGATTTGTGGTGGGCCGCAGAACCGCACTTTTTTCATATTTATTGTCAATAATTGGGTCAATATCATATTGTATTGGTAGCTGGGATGTCCAATAATAAAGATTTTTATTGCAAACCCCAATTATTTATTGAATTGAAATATTTTTTTCCGACCTCTGCTTGGTGGAGTCACGACCTGAGCGTTCCTTGGTACATGTAGAAAGTGGTCGCTAGCGCCGAATCCCCTTCCTCCAGGCGCCGTAGCCGTCGTCTCCACCGCACGGCATCGCTCTGATTGCCGGGAAGATGTGGAATGCTTCCCGAGAGACTTTTGTGGCAACATTGCCCCCTTAACGCACTCCCAGAGGGAGCGGACCGGACATTAAAGTGGCAACGAGTCGCTAACCGGTATTTTGACAATCCTCTAACCGGTATCCTGGAAAGTTGACTTTTGACACGCTTCAAGTTCTGGTGAAGAGACCTTAGTAAGTCTTTTTGAAAATGGCTGTTGATACAGCCCATGTTTTCTAAACGGGTTAGGGTAGTCAACATACTGAAGGCTGTTGATACGGCCCATGTTTTCTAAACGGGATAGGGCGCTAAGAACCCTCTGAAGACCAACCCAGCGTTGAGCAGGGAATACCATGGCCAGCCACAGCACTGGGGTGAAGTTTGCAGGCTCTTCGTGCATCTCAAATGCCACTGGTGTCCATTTTGCTCAGACGCTCCCGATAGATTTGAGTCAATTTCACCCCCTCCAACCGAAAACATGTGTAAAAATTGTTTTGACGACTTAGGTATTTTTGAACGAATATTAGTTAATAGTTAAGGCAGATGAAAGCTTACTGACTTTTGGTGTGTATGTTTTTTCTGTCATTTACGTAATTAGTTGATTTAACATATCAGCTGTTATAGATAGGCGTTTTATACTAAAGATAGGCATTTTAGATGTTTCTTAAAATACTGCTCAAAATTTCTACTCTCCGTTTTATCATACCCCATTCCGTGAAAGTGAGCTGATTAGTGTGTTGTCCTCAAACATAGCCCATTCCAGAAATTCTGTTTCAAAACAAATATTTTATCGAAGAAGTTTTGGTAGTGATTGTGTATCGTGCTGCACGATATATACTTAAGCGAAACGTCTGGGGGCGTATTAGCAAAACATCTCCTAATATGAGGGGTGTTGGCCACAGTAATGAAGTATTACAATATCTTTACATGTCTTACAATATTAGGGGACCTGGGCCATGAGGCCCGGAGATTCGCAGTTCTCTTTGAGAAATACTTCAAGTAACTAGGAACAACGACAAGAAGAAAAATGCATTGTGGTCGTAGAAGAAGGAGGAGAGCGCTCCCTCGACGGTTTTTTGCTAAATGATGGCACTATTGTATCTGGTAAATCTCGACAAATGGTATTCAACTGCCCGCTCATCATGGATGGAGGCAAGGCAGGCGTAGCGGCGGTCACTGAGCTTGGGCCGCAACCACATTTATCTACGCGCCATATTGCTGTGAATCCGAAAAAATGTTCTAGGGGCACCCTTGATCTGGAGTCCGAACTTTACCTCATCCAGTACGAGGAATCAGTAGAGTTACGAGTCGTTAGTGGTGTAGTTTGGCATCAACAACGTAGTCAAGTGCTATACGGCTCGCACTTACAGCGAGTTGTACGTCGTAGAACACGATCACAAATTTAAGCCACTGTTACCGGGAGATATTAAGAGGAACTCCCATGTACTTGAACGTGCCCCAACAATATCAGGCCATCAAAAGAAGCGGTTTGCCAGTACTGGTAAAACACGAAGTCGTGCGGCAGCAAAAGAATGACGCTATGGGGTCTGCACACCGGCGAAGCGTGATCGGACAATTACGTCATTACCATTAATTCTTAGATAGTGTCATCCTTTGGCGAATGTAAACAATATTTGTCTACACTGTAGATTTATCAGATAGTGCCATTATCCGGCAAGAACCTGCAAACCCTAAAGTTAATACTTCTAGGCATGAATGTTTCTCACAAAGAAAAAAAACCGACGCAAGTGCACACACTCGGCGTCTGCGAAGGACCAGAGTTGATCTAGGCTCGAGCTAGCCTACGCCTGTGACTCGGCAGTAGCGTCAAATACCAGGTCGATTAGCTGCCTTTATTGACCTGATCAACTCCAGAACCATTGACCGCATAAACCTGAAGATTATAACATACAGCAGGCGGTCTTTGTCATACCTGAAAATACAACTCGGTCAGCGCTAAATACATTATTCTGTCAGGAAACGGCAATAATGCCTCCTACGGATCGGTGTTTTCATCCGCGTGCTTCGCTTGCTTTGTGCTGACGGTCTGATCTACTTAAAGTTGTCCCCCATAACCTACTATAGTTGGACAAATGCCAGAATATACTTGAACTTGAACTATTTTATTCCTCTAAAACGTTTACACTGGTGAGGAGCCGCAAAACGGAAGTTTAGGCACACGGGGGAAGATGCAATTTGCTGAAGAACCATGCTATAAATGTTGCATGGTGTTCGATCTGGTTTGATCGTGCAAATGACATCGAAAGGGCTCAAGTATGGACTTGATCGTGGTCTAGAAAAGAGAGTTCCGAATGCAACCGGTGCTCGATATGATTCTAGCGTATCCTGGCGTGCTGGGTGAGGAGAGTCTTCCATTTCGTTTGGCTGCCGGTATTTCCTACTAGTAGTGTGCTCCACAAACATGTTAGCGACAGAATGCTCTAACCCAAAGCTGCTTTCAAATGCGTTTGTATGTTTGAGCTCGATGACTACTGTAGAGTTCATTTAAATTTGATTAAAAAAGCCCCCCGAGTGAATTGGTGCTGGCATATTCCACGTACCACGCAGGAAACCCGTCGAAGTGATGAGACAATCAGGTCATTCTGCATTAGATGCAGCCAAATAGTGTCCCTTACATCACTTGCTACTGTGAAGAGGTTTCTCTTCACGATGGTACATTCCTCCATCTGAGCCATTCTCCACAAAAACCGCATTTCAGGCACACCAGCAATGTTGCAGGATATCAATGCTGACAACATGCTCACCTCACGCAACTTAAAAACGCTGGCCGTTATATTGCAGGATGTCAATGCTGCAAACTTTTCTGGGGCGGCCTAACACAGTTCTTCGAACTGCGAAGAACTGCGAATAAAATTCACTCAATGAAAATCTATGCGCAGCTGTAACGAGGTAAAAAAAATGCAGGAGTTATAAACACATCAAGAACACAGCATTTAGGGATAGTGAGCTTTTTTTAAACTGTGGGTCCAGACGATCCCTCGCTAGTAATCCCTAGGTAAAGAATACCCGCTCATCAGGAATATAAATGTGGCTCCCAACGATTTCTGAATGCCCGTCCTATACAAAGCCAAGTAATTATTTCCCCTCCCCCTCAATCGTAATAAGGAATAGAAAATCATAGAATATGAATGTTCTATGGCAAAAGTCCACTTTGTACAGGACGTCTGGAGTAGTCGACCAGGACACCAGCTCCTATCGTCTGTGTTTCCTTGCCGAATTCCAGTTAACGATTGCATTAGGTTTCGGAACCTTATTATACACCTTTTAGTTTCGTTCGTTCAAATACAAAGGAGCTGGGAGCTTGTCAACATTAGTGAGATGGGGCACAACAGTATCATGCCAAATTAGTTTGCTCTCAGTATCATTACCTACATCGTGTCCAACATCTATTACGGCATTAAACTCAAATAGACTTTATCCTGCTCGATGTTACCGAACGACGGTAGCGACGAAGGGATACATCGTTATCTGCATTAATTCCCTGCCCCCTCATCGATTTGAGCGCTATGCAACCAAAAGACTGCACCAATTTGTACCATGTATGTGGTACAATAGTGTGTACCACCCCAATGGTACACCCTACGACAAGAATACCCTCACCTAGGAATAAAAAGTGGCGACGCCATGACTACCGAGGGGATTGTCTGTGGATAATGCAAACACAATGTAAGTAATTTTTAAAAGCTGTAACGTATAATATCGAAAAGAGT